TAGTGATGGATTCGGCAGGGTTTTATTCTGTACACTTCGCACTGAATGGTGAAGAAGTCCATCAAGAAGGAGCGACGGAAAATACTCGTCCAAACTCAGGAGAAATGCCTCCAACGTAATCACGGGGGTAACGGTTAGTCATAGTCTTTCCTCGATGAACAACAGCGCATCTACTACATCCACACGGACCGACATCAAAAACTCTTGTCAAATCAAAAATACTATATGTCACTATGGTGACACCCTATAACAGCATGCGATAGACACATATATTAATACGAACTCGCTTTAAATTGTCTTAGATGCTACTGAGTGACAGTGACAAAAATAGACACACTTTGTGCTCCCATGAACAGACACTCCTCGTAGTCAAATTCACCATGGAGCAACTTGTTCGATGAGTAGCTTTAGCAATTCCTCATCATGGGTTGTCATTATTATCATCGGGAGGAAACACAATACACAATTATTAACCCTTGTGGGAAAACCTGCACACGGTCAACTACGTGAAAATTTTTGGAAATTCTTGTTGGTTTTTGTACACTTCTACCTGAACTCATATAAATGAAAGTAACTACCCAAAATTTCCTCTGGATTTTCATGTTACCATCGACGCATGTGGTTGACCATGTACATATTTTCCCACACTGTTTGAAACCCAGGACGGGAACTACGTAGATAGCGCAGACAGATCTAAAGAATCTCCCTCGGGGAGCCACAGTCTTTGAAATCGCTACATGGAGGTTTACATTGATGTGATGCAGGTCATAAGACGGCCAATGCGGAGAAGATTCCAGAAGGGGATGTGCATATACCGAATAAATGGAAGCGACAAGAGCTCGTAGGGAGGGTGTTGCTGGCGAGATGTGGCGGAAATGTGGTATGGTAGGTCGGACGACAATATAGGGAGAAGAAGAAGGTTAAGAGGGAGACTAGAAAGCAAAGACAAGAAGCTAGAGCTAGAGGAGAGGAGGTAGTGATAATAACATATAAAGGGTAATAGGTTATAGTGCCTATAGGTCGATGTGCCGGTGACTACGACTATCGAAATGATGAGGGAAGCAGATGTTACGATGCTGCCTCCAGAAGGGGATGAGGAGGTTAGGGCGGATGAGAGGATGGATGAGTTCAGGTAGTAGTAGTAGTACTAGTAGTAGTAGTAGTAGTAGGAGTAGTAGTAGTAGTAGTAGTAGTAATAGTAATAGTAATAGTAATAGTAATAGTAATAGTTGATGCTAGTAGCCTCTGTTATACACATAAAACTTACGTGTGATCTTACTCCCTATTTATTCGTGGATCCTTATCATAGCGCTAAAGCAATAATCAGCTTGTCGTGAAGATGGAGACTGATAGCTAAGGAGCGTATTTTTCTCCTTGCCGAATTCGGAGATTCAATATTCCACGTTATCCAAGTATTGTATTGTTTCTGGCTGAAACTTAAACAAGGCTTAGATATAAATTATTATACCTGATTTTTCAGGCAGCTCATCATTATATCATAAAATGATGCCCTATCTGAAGAAAGTACGCTCTTAGATGTTCTTGAAAGTACAATGGAGTTTGTTCGCCGATTCGTGGTATGGAAAACAATAGTGAAAAATATATCTCACGACTACTGCATATCACCGCGAATATCGGGTTCTTCACGGAGTATTACGCCACGTCACGTGAAGCGGATGAAACTCCACCGTACTCGATCGTATTATGAATCATAGCTCGCCAGGCACACCTTTCCTACCCCACCTCCTACGAGCGAGGTTCTCCCACTAGGGCAAACAGCAGCTGAGGAAGATACGCCCAGTACAGTTCCTACTACGGTGGAGGCTGGACAGGATGAGGGAGAGGAAGGGGAGGAGCAGAGGGAACCTGTGGAGCCTAAGATAATGCTAACGACGTCTATGGCAGTAATAGGGAGAAATGACGGGCCTGGGAATCGAACCTGGGACCTCCGTGTTCAGTATCCCTCTGAGCGATCGTACGGTCTCATCAAAGAGCTGGTCGAAGTGGTGCCGGGCCTGCAGTACTTCCGGAAGAAGCATTTCCCTATCACCAAGATTTGCGACTTTGCTAACAATAGAGGATTCACAGCAGTTGTGGTAGGCAGGGAACATTACGAATACGAAGTTTGCATGGG